CAAAATTTTAACAATTTGTTTTTGAAAACTAGGTCTGATTTCTGGTTCGACTGCCGGTCCAAAATAGCCCAACTCGATTTAACTTGTAAAATAATTTTTACGTATTGACCGAATTAAAATTTAGACCAATTTAACTGGTCAGACCATCCAGTTGATTCAATTTTTTAATCACTGCAAGACGCTTTATTTGATAAGATGAAAAGAAACAAAGCGTAAAGTAATAGGAGTAGGGTTCGTGGTTGGTAACATATCAGATAATCAATCAGAAGTTGGTGGTACCATGGCAGAGACAATGTGAAAGCCAAATGAGTAATGAGAAGGCAGAGACAGGCCTTGCAAGCAGAGTGGCAAGTTGGTCCCTTGTCTCTACGTTACATTGGCATTGAGATCGTGGTGGTCGACTTGATCATGTAGTTTGGTTCGCCATTATCCTTCATCACCTGAGCCAGCAACGTGATTTGCATGAACCGAGCCTGAATGGAGTACGTGGCATCCTCTCAGACATTGTGCCGGTGATTCCAGGACTAAAAAGAGTGTAAACATTACTTGTTTTTGTGTTCATGTTCCTTAGAATAATTTAACTTATTTGAGAAAAATATTTCCTTCATCCCAATTTATTAGACACTTAAACAGAAAATCATGTATGCAAATAAAATTTATTAAATATACTTTACAACTTTCCTATTTCAAAATAAAAATCTAAACTTTAAAAAATACTCTTCATTTAATATTTCGTTTGTGAAAGAACATAAAAGAAATAAAATATATAAGAAGGGTAATATTAAAAAAGTATTATTAATGAAATTTTATTTTCATCAAAGTGCATTTGAATCATTCCCAAAAATATCTTATAATTTGGGACAATGAGAGCAATATTTTTGGTCCATATATAGCACGGTTTTTTTTCAAGCAGATCTCAATATTTTAAAAACATAAAATATAAATCAATTAAAATTAGTGTAAGTAGTAAAGGCTCTAAATACTTAAACAAGTAGTACAGAGTTCAAATTTCAATCCTTTCATATGAAGTGATTATTTTGTTGGAAGAGATTTACCATTTGCCTTCAGTACCTCAAAGATTGTCATATGCTTCTTTATTTTTTTATAAGCAAAAACAAAAATTTCAAGAAACATTATATCATAATTTTTTTTAAATTTTTTTTCATAAGGCCAATATTTATTTTTACAAGACAAATTTATTTCTTTAGTTACAATCCATTTTTTTTTTAAAACTTTTTAAAAATAACTGGATACACCACCCCTGTCTTGTGGGAACAGGAGGAAACTCAGGAGAGGAAGACCACTGGTCTAGGCTTGATGCTTCATACATATGGGTTCGGCCCACTCGGTGATTATCCTATACAAGGTGTTTAAGCATGCCATAAATATTGTTGGTATTGAAAATTGTTTAAATGTGTGAGGCATGTCAGACTTAAAAAAAAAAAACGCAATGTTTACTTACTGTAATTTTTCGAGATGCTAAAATGAAGTTTAATCACAACGGAAAGAAGTAAATCAATATATATTAAAATATGTCCATGTAAGTGGGTAGGACCTCATTTAAAATACAAAAGGAGGCAATGTAAATTGCAAGAAATGACATTATTTATTATTATGTAATGAGTGACAAATGCATCGAGTCGTAGGTCCTTTTCTAAAATGCTTGTACTAATTGTAGGCGGGTAGGCGTATCTCTATCTACTGACGCCTGCCCCTATATTATTTATAAACGATAGACACATTACATGTCCCTTGAAATTTAATACTCTCTTCATCTTAAATTATAAAATTTTTTAAAAAAATTTAATATTTTAAAATATATAACACTTTGATAAAAATAAAGTTTTATTAATAATTTTTTTTTAAAAAAATAATTTTTTAGTCCTTTAATTTTTGACCCACTTATAACTTAATTTCTCAATTATGACTTCCTGTGATTAAGTTTTTCAACTATGACTCACTGTAACTCAATTTCTCAACTTTTAACTCACTTATAATTCAGTCCTTATCTTTTAATTTTTTTAAAAAAATTATCCTTATTAAGTAAGAGAGATAAAATAAATGATTATTCTTGTTCTAAAATACCTTTCTCTTGCTCTTTAATATGAGATCTAAGCTAACATCAAAAAGAGAACTAACAAAAGTTGAGAAATTGAGTCATAAACGAGTCAAAAGTTGAGGAATTAAATCATAGGCAAGTCAAAAGTTGAGAGACTGAGTCACAGTAAGTCATAATAAAGGGATTAAATTACAAGTAAATTAAAAGTTTAAGGACTAAAAGATTAATTTTTTTTAATTTTTATTATATTATCTTTTTTTAATATTCTTTCATAAATGAAATATTAAATGAGGACATTTAAATTTTATATTTTTATTTTAAAAATAAAATCATAAAGTGTATTTAATGAGTTTTATTAATATGTATAATTTTATTTAAAAATATTTTATAATTTAAGATGAGAAAATAATATCAGACTACAGCCTCCCACTCCACCTATACACTCATCGCGTCAATTTAAGGTGTGTGTGTGGGTGGGTATCTCAGCAGCAAGAGAAGGCAAATAGAGAACTGGAAACGCTGAAAACCACTCAATGGAGGTTGATTTGTGCATTGATGACTCTATATTTTTATATATTTTAAAGAGTCTTTATTGATTAATTGGAGAGTCAACTAGCTATTTTTGATTAATTGTCTTGTGCTTAGTATTTATTTTGGTGTTATTTAGCTTGTCTTATAAATATTATGTTTTGATTTTTGTTTCAGAATAATTTCTTTTCTCAGTTAGCATCATTTTTTGATTTTAAGAAACTCTACTAAAGCTTGAAAGAGGTGGATAAGTAAAATATAATGAATTTAATGAAGAAATGTAATTTTTATGATCACATGCTATAGCGGGTCAGTATTATAAAAAAAATTCTAAACCAAAAACAGAGCTGCTGTATCAAGCGCTGTAGCATATTTCGCACAAGAAACATTCAGCATAAGTTTTTCAAATAGAAAAGCGGGAAAGCATGAGAGTTTTGAGTAGTTCGACTTTTGAGAAGTTCTTTAGACCAGAGGAGGTGATTTTGAAGGTTAAGCATTGACCTAGAAGCTTGAAAAAGAAGGATTCATCCACATTTTATGATTTTATCTAGTTTAATCTTGTTTTTCTCCTTATTCTCCAATGTTTTTAGTTTTGCTTCTTCATTTTGCTATTGTAGGAGTGAGCTTACTGATATACATAGCTTGATTTTCTTCATAACCTCAGCAATTATGAACTTGTTTATGTATTAGATACTATTTTCTCTTTATTATATGGTTAATGTTAGTTTTGTGTTAGTTAATCTCATTTATTGTGACTTGCTTAATAACACCATTGAGTTGAGATTCAATGATTTAGGGTTTATCTTGGAAAATAAAATCTTAAATGGACCTTAATATGGGATTAGAATTTATTCTAATTTGCTATTAGGAGAGGAGCATACCTCTTGGACACATATAATCATATTAGAGTGTCATTGAATTTTTAATGCCTCTTGGATAATTGTGTTAACATTTGTATTATTATTTAAGAGAGCCCTATAATTGATTTAGAAGATAATTTTAACTAATTAGACTATAGATTAACCAAGCAAAATTAATCTTAGGTAATTTGTAGGAAATATATTCTAAGAAATAAATAAGGGAATAGGAGCTTAGGTAATCTCTTTTATGAAATTATTGTTTTGTAGAATTATTTTCTTTTGAATCTTAATTACTAATTTTTCTTGTTTATAAACACTCATGTGTGATTCGCTTGACTTGAATGAAATTAAAAATTTAAGATTTATTTGCCCATTTATTTAATTTCCAGTGGAATTGACTTGATTTGCCATTAATTACAATTGCGACCCATATACTTTAAGTGATTTGTGCATCATTGTCACAATGTCATTGTCAATGTCGATCAGCACCTCTGCCTGTGGTGGTGGTGGAGGCGGAAAAGAGAAAGGAAAAAGAGGGATGATCAAAATAATGCAGCAGGCTTCATATTGTCTGGTTTTGGTTAAGTGAGTAAATGAAGAAGAGAGAAGCATCAATTTATAGAGGAGGCAACGATGAGCAAGCAAAAGCCCAAACATCAATTTATACTTGTCATAGTAAATGAAGAAGCGAGAAGCATCAATTTATAGAGGAGGCAACCATGAGCGAGCAAAAGCCCAAACATCAATTTATGCTTGTCATAGTTTACACCATCTAACAATTAGGTTCATATGGTTTCCAACGCTCTAAATTATGGTCAAAAGGCTCATAGCTTGATGCTGCTGGACAACCTACTTGTACGTACTTTCAAAAAACAAAGTAGGATAAACGATTTTTCTTAAAAAAAAAAACAGAATTGAAACTGAAAAGCGAAAAGACATTCTTAAATTAAATAAAAGCTGTACAAAAACATAGTAGTAAAGTGATTCTGAGACATGGCACAAGTTATCGATATTATTCTACAATTAACTGTAATCGCAAGTGACACGTTTTGTCTTTTTTTTTAAAAAAAGAAAAAAGAAAAGGGACTGAGAGACGACGATGTAAAATATATTAATCCTGACTGTAAAGATTAATGAAATATCAAATACGGTATAATCCTTATACGTTGCTAGCCTTACATTCTCTGTTCGCTCATGCTTTTCATGTGGCACCAAAATCAATATCAATATCAATAAAATATAGTGTAAAAAAAGATACTACTGTTCACAGATCATTAAAAAAAAAAGACTAGCTGGAATCCGGTGAGATGCATGCACGGTCGCCCATGCTTTTCATGTGGCACCAAAATCAATATCAATAAAATATAGTGTAAAAAAAGATACTACTGTTCACAGATCATTACAAAAAGACTACCGCCAATCCGGTGAGATGCATGCACGGTCGATCAAGATTTAGAAATGATTGAACCAAAGTACCAAACTGAATCGTTTACGTACAAAGCACTTCGAGCTTCACCTTGATCACTCCCTCGTTACCTCTATAAATACAAGGCCCTTATTCTCATTCACTCACACCACCCACAAACAATAAACCCTAGTCTTCCATAGCCACAAACCAGCCAAACAATGAAGCCTACTGCATTCCTTTCTTTTGTCTTCTTCCTTCTCTTCGCCTTCACTGCCACCACCATCTCGGCGGACATGGTGTTCGACTCCGATGGCGAAGTAATGATAAACGGTGGCAAATACTACCTCTCACCTTCTACCTCCATTGGAGGTGGAGCCATCGTATCTGCTGCCATTAGGAATGGAGATTCTCATTCCTGCTCGCTCGCTGTGGTTTCAGCACCGTACGCTAAAGGATGGGCGGTGACCATATCATCTCCTCACCTTACTACTTTCATCTCAACGGCCCTTCCTTTGTACATATCGTTCGCTTATTTACCACCTAACGTCTGCACCGATTCACCAAACTGGGTCGTCATAAAATCCCTTCCTGTTGGAGAGCCTGTGATGCTTGGCAGTGCAGAAGAATTTGGCTCTGCTTATGTTTCTGGTTGGTTCTTTATCAAGACCCACGACTCAGAAAAGCATTACTATAAGCTCGTCTTCTGTGAGCATGGAAACGATCACTGTGGAGACATCGGGGTCAAAGTCGATGGTGAAGAACGACGGCGTTTGGTTGTCACCGATAAGGACCCACTGGTTTTTAAGTTTGACAAGGTTAACGAAACCTACGCCTCCGATCTGTCCATGGTGGTGTGAACTGGGAACCTCTAAGCTGGCCGAAGATCGATAATAAGAATAATAATGTGACGGTGATGGTGATGTAATTAATAATGAGAGTGTGACAAATATACTTGCTGCACTTCCAAAGATCACTACTTTATGTAGTTGCTTATCTTATGAATAAATAAACATTATATCATCATCAGTTAAATTTCTTGAGCATACATACACTGAACTTGCTTTTACGATGCTTCTCCACAAATACCAAATGAGAAATCGTAGGCCCCTTACGAGACACGTCGATTAGAATTTAGAACCCATTATGATCTCCCTAGTGTACCATGCATATATGTATAATTTTCCGTTCATTAATTCAAAGGATTAGACATATATACATGTGCGATTCTGCAGTGTTCGTCGTATGTGAAAGATATATAAAACCAAACGGGAAAAACGTCCATATCAAATTGGACCCCATATACTATCAATTTCAGTCAATCAATAATTGCACGGATGCCTCTTTTTTCAAAATCATCATTCTAATTAAAGAGTTTTAACAGCCACCAATACATTACCACATACATTAGCCACATTTCTATCATTCATTTAATAAAACTATCAGATTGATCATAATAGCAAAGTATGTTAAGCAAAATCTTCCTCATTATTAAGTACAGTCCATGCTATATAGGACCATGAATTTGGATCCATTGAGTGGCACAAATCTATTCACTCAATAAGTACCTCATGTAGTATGATAACAACTGTTCAATTTTAGAGATTTTGTCATGTAAAACTCAGAAAGTATTAAATCTCAAATTTTTGGAAGGAACAACATATGTGAGAAGTGTTTTAATTGTGAGGGTTGTTTTCAACTTTTGAAAGAAAATGTATCTTGATAATATTTATAGTATTGATGCATGAAATCCAACAACTATGATTGAAATACTCATTAAGTGATGGGTGGATTTAGACTACTTAGCAGCGCTGTATGAAGAAGTGTTGAGGTCTAAAAAGAAATCATCAATGAGGTCAAATGTGAGAAATTGCTCTTTTAAAAAAAAAATCTGTCTTATATTTTTTTTATAAACTACAAAATTATATATCAAAGTTATGTAATTAAATAATTCTAATAGAAAGCCTAACTGATGTTATAGACAGAGATAAAGAGATCAAAATAATGGCTTGCAAAGTGTTTCCTGTCCTCTTCGATCTTAAATATTGTGGTAGTATGTGAATATTAACTATTTGATAACCTTTAGAATTTCATATTATTTGAGCACATTTACCTTGGTTTCTATTATATTTTGGCTTAATTGTATATATTTTGGTTGCCCAAATTAGGAAAATGTGTGTATCTTGCTTTGGATTTGCACATTTATTTTTAATTTATTTCTTTTGAGCTAATTTTGTGTTATTTTGGTTTACGGTTTGATTAGATTCATTTCTAGATCTTTGTTGATGCTTTTGGATAAAGAAATCAAGTGCAAAAATGATAAGTTTTATTAAATGCAAAAATAATGTAAAATTACTAAAGTTGTCCAAAGTTGCGCCTTTATTCGCGACTTTTGCTGCTATTAGTAAAACATCTATTTTATTTGTCTAAAAATGCTTGATTAGGATATGTGCGCGCGCGCGCAAAGATTTTAACTTAGAAGACATTCTACACACTGATACATATTTGGAGCTTAGTTATGCTAAGGTTTGGGCATCTGAAAAATTGGGATTAAGAGATTAAAGCTTTGAAAATATTTGAAACTCATTTTTTTCAATTTGGCATCGGAAGGGTTAGTATCTCTTGGCATTCCCCACAATGTCACTGTTTGTGTTGATCAGCACCTCCGCCGTAGAGAAGAGAGAAGCATCAATTTATAGAGGAGGCAACCATATGAGAGAGCGAAAGAGAAAATGAGAGATTATTTCTTTAGGATTTTAGGCACGAGTAAAAGATGAGAAGGATAAGGATGCCATGTGCTTCCAGTGGTTCTGTAGAATAAGAGCATACTTCATCTCAAGATAGAGGACCATAGAGGATGTTGGTTCCAAAGGATGATACAATTACCACCCCCTTCTCCCCCCCCCCGAGACATACATATATATTATAAATTAGATGTATAATAGTATGATCCCCTAATATTTGTTAGTGGATGCTTTGATGTATTGTCAATCTAGTAGAACTATTATTTTCTTTCAATGACCAGTGATAACAATACAATTGCTTGAGTTGAAGTGTTGCATATTAAAAGTTAAAACTCATTAATTTCTTGTCATGTTTTTTCTTTTTCAAAAAGCAGGTACAATTATTGAAGATTTTTTTTGAGAGAGTTTAATTTACATCAATGTCATATGTATTTTTTAAAAATACACATGTTATACATTTTTTTTCTTTTTTGTTTTTATCTTTCAAATTCTTAATGCCTCCCACATCTCCTTGGCCATTGTATAATAGATGACACAATAATATTTGGCATGATTGAGAGCATAGACTATAGTGAACTTAGCCTCGACATTCAAATTGAATAGCCGCTTATCCTTCTCACTCCATTCATCTTTTCTCTTCTCTTTCATTAAATCATCATCTCCAGCTATCATTGGGATAGACGAGCCTTTGGTGACGATATCAAGTATTTCTATATCAAGAGCTTTGAGATAGATCATCATTTGGCTTTTCCAGAATGGATGGTTCTTGCCCTTAAAGGTAGGTAGTCTAGCTGTGGACAATCTTTTTATGAGGTTATCATATGTAAAATTAGCCATTAGTAAGATTTTTTTTACTCTGACAGTTAAGTCAACTTTAAGCAACTACGCTCTAATACTAATTGAAAGTAGCCCAAAAAGGGGGTGAATTGGGCTTAATAAAAAAGTTGACTAATTAAAATAATATCAAAGCGATAAGTTGAGAAGAATATTAGCAAACAGAGTAAAGAGAAAGGGAGAAAAGCTTGCACAATTTACTTATCATAGTTCAGCTCCAACCACTTAAGCCTACATTCAGTCCTCAAGCTCCACTTGAGATTTATGTTCACTATCCTCACCAAGATTAATCATGGCCCTTGGTTGTGTTAGTGCAATTCTCAAACTTAATACTAAAGCCTGTAACACTCCCCCTTACAAATATAATGTTAAAAACCTCTTAAGTTCCTTTATTCAAAGTATAGAAAAGGGAGATAAATAGAATAAGTTTAAGAATGAACTACTTTTGTTGAATATTCTCTTAAGGAGTTGATATACAATTAATGAATCTCACTTGTAATGAATATAGACTCTAAAAGTTGGCGAAACAATAAATGAAATAACTCGCATTATTCGTTCATGTGTATTCTTCTTCACTGTTTTCAGAAATGCTTCTATTTATAGCTGGGCTTCATAAATGGTTCACTAAACTCATGAATATGACTGTTGGAGCCTTCATCTTTTTTCCTCTATGCTTTCTCTAGAAAAGATGCATTGGTTTGGTGCTTTATGAAGGAGTTTCTCTCTCTCAACAAGTAAGGAAAGTAACAGCTCTTTCTAATAAATATTTTGACAAGGTAGGTCAGAGCTTATTTTAGAAGAACGAAGCTATTTGGAAATAAGGATTTTAGGAATAAGCAACAATTATTTAATCCAACCTAAAATTGTGTTTAAAATGATTCTAGGATATTTAAATGACCAACACAACTTATAAAAGTGAAAGGAACATGAATTAAGGAAGCTTCAAAGTTTTCCAGAACCCATCATGAAAACAGAGCATGATTCTTCATGCATATTTTGGAAAAAATAAGCTTATTCCAAAAAAGTGAAGAACAACTCACAGAATTTGTAGAGAGGGTTCCTTCAGAGTATAGCACTTGTATCAGAATAAGTTTACACATATAAGAATTGAAAATATTTATTTTGGAATAAGAGAAGTTATTCCCAAATGAGCTATACCTAAATAAGTTGATTATTCCGAAGTAAAGACCTTAACAATGCAAAATTACAAAAGCTCTCAAAATTTGGATTTTTAATTCTAAGTTTAATTGTGATACCTTTCAAGCAATACAAAAATTCTTTAAGGAATTAAGATTAAGTCAAATACTTAATCTTTTGAAAGAAACACTATAGAAATATATATAGGAGAATAGTTTAAGTGTTTCTTGACTATTTGGGAATAAGACACTTATTTAGAAATAAAGGTACTTATCTAGGAATAAGATTTGAGGGCTAGAATTTAAAGCAAAGACAACAAATTTTCTTATAAGCCATTAATTCTTAATTATTAACCCTGCAAGGTACAAACTTATCTTATTTTATAATAATCAAAATTAAGGTTCAATATCTTTATCTACAAAATATTTTGAAAACCTTTGTTTTGAGGAGTACCTTCAAGTGCTACACCTCCAAATCTAATATAATTAGGTGGCAATAAGTAGTAATTGCCTCCGTTGTTAACAAAGAGAGCCACGAAAAGAAGAAGGAGAAGGAGAGCGCAAGTAGTGCATTAGTCTTCACTGTTTTGCTAGGTTTGGTTTTGGGTTGTGAGGAATTGAGAAGTAGGAGCATCTTCTTATAGAGGTAATTAATCAAGAGTCAAGTCTGTAATCCAAACAAAGCATGACGGGCCAACTCCAAAAAATCCAACAAAATTTTTAGGACTGGGCTTGGGGAATTTAAAAAACTTTCTTTGCTTTTAACTTATTCAAGCCGTATGAATGAACCTAAAAAATCTATGCAAAGCCAAATCTAAATAGTTTTAGTTGAAAATCCCTGAATTTTTTTTTATTTTCAACAAGAAAATTTAAATAATATAACAATTAAAAATATTAATTTTTTAAGATAAAAAATATTATTTGGGTTAACCCAAACAAGCACAAAGTGTTAGGATGTGCTTGATTACATGGGCTTTTTTACATAATTAAATATTTTAAGCTTAATTCGAATAAGAGATGCAGATGAGATGCCACCTTCACTATACAGTGACCAATTATAATTAGGTGTGTGTGTAGATTAAAAAATTTCAACTAAGGTTGCAATAAAAGCCTATGACTATAACATAATTTATATATGGATGCTTTTTTTAAAAGTTAGTTACCCCGTTAAATTTGTTTTGATGATTTGTTTGCCAAGTCAATTTAGATATACAACAACAAAAAAAAGATATAATTTCATTATCTATATTTTGTGATTAATTAAAAAAGTAGAGTTAAAAAATCTAAAAATAATTGATATAGTCCTTATATTAATTATTTAATTATTTTTTTATATAATTT